TTGGGTTCTGGCGAGGGAGAGGAGAGGGAAATGGTGGGATGATGGAGGGAGGGATGAGAGTCGAAGAAGCCATTAGAGCAGCTGTCGGTGCGTTGGTGATGTAGGACGCTTAACAGAAGATTTATTGGATGATTCGGACATTCACGAGATAAATACAGATTTATACTTCCGCAAAGAAACAATCATATTTTTCAATCCGGAAGGCGGATTCTGACATTGGGTTCTGGCGAGGGAGAGGAGAGGGAAATGGTGGGATGATGGAGGGAGGGATGAGAGTCGAAGAAGCCATTAGAGCAGCTGTCGGTGCGTTGGTGATGTAGGACGCTTAACAGAAGATTTATTGGATGATTCGGACATTCACGAGATAAATACAGATTTATACTTCCGCAAAGAAACAATCATATTTTTCAATCCGGAAGGCGGATTCTGACATATTATATATGTAAATCGCCTATCTCGACGAGACGGAGCCAACCAGATTGTCAGATTTTTTCAATCTCATCAGTTATACCCAGATTTGGCTAAAATCCGAAAATAATCAGCCTTTAGTTTATTTTTAGTAATAAAGTTGGAGTCTTTTAGATTAGGAAATAAATTCAATTTTAGGAGTCTGTTTTGTTTAGGAAATAAATTCGATTTGATCTTAGATTTGACCGGAGGACTTTCCTAATCATAAGGAGTCTTTTTAGGAGTTTTAGTATTTTTGGAATTCTTTTACTATTTTTGGTAAAGTTTGAGTCCTTGTAGGAATTAGAGTCCTTGTAGGAGTCTTGTTTCTTTTTCTATTTAAGAAGAGTCTTGTAAGCCATAGAGGCATAACTTTTTATCAATAAAATTTCTCTTTTCAATATTTCTTCGTGGATTCGAAGTTCTTCGTGGATTCGAAGATCGTTCTTTGTGGATTCAGAATCATCACAGCAGCAAGAATCTTGTCTCTCGGCGTATGGTGGAGAAGTTAGGACTGAAGATAGAGAAACACCCACCTCTCTACATGATCGACTGGATTAGCATGGACAATGTTGTGCAGAACGATGAGAAGTGTCGGATACGTTTTTCCATTGGTCGAACTTATTTTGATGATGTGTTGTGCGATGTGGTCGAGATGGATACTTGTCATATGCTTTTAGGTAGGCCATGGCAATTCAATAATGGAGCTACCCATAGGAGCAGAGACAATGTTTATATCTTCAAGAAAGATGAACATCGAATTGTGCTTAAGTCTCTTACAGAAAAGGAGCCATTTAAGATAAAAACTACTGAGATGAAGAAACCTTTGGTGACAAACAACGAGGCTTTAACAGAAAACTTGAAGCAATCTGAAGAGGTCTATCATTTGGTTGTAAAAGAAGAACATGCCTCTACTGAAATTCCTCCTAATGAGCAAACACTTGATATGCATGAGATTCATGATGGTGATATGATAGTGAGGATGGATGATACACATGATATTATTAAAGTGGTTAAAAGTGATATTGTATATATTGATGTTGTTCCGATAGAGGAGAATGATAAAATAGAAAACAATAGGGGCAAAGGAGTAATTGGAGAGCCAGCTTACTTAGAAGAGCTCATCCCAAGTCTACCATCAATTACAGCACGAGAATATGAGTACGGGGTCACATTCAATTGGGATGCAAACCAAGGGATCTCTGGAGCAATCATTGTCAAAAACAATCGCCAAGACAAGTTCTTTCTCAAGAGCTTGATCGTTGATGATTTTCCTGGAAAAGGCCTTATCTATTTTGATTGCAATTCTTGGGTTTATAGCATTGACGAGTACTCATATGACAGGATTTTCTTCGCCAATGATACATATCTTCCAGAAAATACACCAGAACCTTTGAAACCATTCAGACAAGAGGAGGCAAAACAACAAATGGAGAAAATCAATACTAAGTATAAGGCGGATGCTGATCGATGGAGGTTAAGAAAGCTATTTATCGATGAAGATACTATTCAAGCAAATATAAGCTCGAGGACGAGATTCTTTCAACAAGGGGAGACTGATGTAGGACGCTTAACAGAAGATTTATTGGATGATTCGGACATTCACGAGATAAATACAGATTTATACTTCCGCAAAGAAACAATCATATCTTTCAATCCGGAAGGCGGATTCTGACATATTATATATGTAAATCGCCTATCTCGACGAGACGGAGCCAACCAGATTGTCAGATTTTTTCAATCTCATCAGTTATACCCAGATTTGATTAAAATCCAAAAATAATCAGCCTTTAGTTTATTTTTAGTAATAAAGTTGGAGTCTTTTAGATTAGGAAATAAATTCAATTTTAGGAGTCTGTTTTGTTTAGGAAACAAATCCGATTTGATCTTAGATTTGACCGGAGGACTTTCCTAATCATAAGGAGTCTTTTTAGGAGTTTTAGTATTTTTGGAATTCTTTTACTATTTTTGGTAAAGTTTGAGTCCTTGTAGGAATTAGAGTCCTTGTAGGAGTCTTGTTTCTTTTTCTATTTAAGAAGAGTCTTGTAAGCCATAGAGGCATAACTTTTTATCAATAAAATTTCTCTTTTCAATATTTCTTCGTGGATTCGAAGTTCTTCGTGGATTCGAAGATCGTTCTTTGTGGATTCAGAGAACACCCTTGGTGGATTCCGAGGTTATAACTTCCACGCTGCGTCAGTTGGACTTGCCGAAATGGGGAAGCAGGAAATGGGCAGATACCGGGGTGCTTCGGGGCTGATCGGTTCAAATGTGTGTTTGGATTTCAATGGGTTAAGGGAAGTTAAGGAAACTAGGTGAGAGAATGGAAGGGAAGGGAAAAGAGTTCCCTTCCCCTTGCTTACACCTCAATTTGGGGTAACAAATTTTATACTATCGGGGGTGAACCAAGGGGAACTAGGGTGAATAACTTCACCTCCTAAATGTTCCCAAACAAGATGAATGGTTCCACTAACTTCCATCCACCCTTATTCCCCTCAATCCAAACAAGCCCTAAGGGAGTGTTTGGTAAGTGAAGTGTTTTTTTGTTTCCGTGTCTTTTTTTAAAAAAATCAATCAAATGCGTTTAGGAAGTGGAGCGTTTTTTTAAGCTGACCGTATACAAAAATAAAAAGTCTAACGGAAATCCCAAACCCATCTCC